CACGCCCCTACCCGCCACTGCCCCCGCACGCACCGAGCCATCGGTGAGTCACCCACACGCCCCTACTTACTCACGCGTGGCAACGCCCCCGCATGCACCGAGCCATCGGTGGGTCGCCCACACGCCCCTACCCGTCGCCGCGGCCCCCGCATGCACCGAGCCATCGGTGAGTCACCCACACGTCCCTACCCGCCCCCGCCCCGCACGCACCGAGCCATCGGTGAGTCACCCACACGCCCCTACTTACCCACGCGTGGCAACGCCCCCGCACGCACCGAGCCATCGGTGAGTCACCCACACGCCCCTACTTACCCACGCGTGGCAACGCCCCCGCACGCACCGAGCCATCGGTGAGTCACCCACACGCCCCTACTTACCCACGCGTGGCAACGCCCCCGCATGCACCGAGCCATCGGTGAGTCGCCCACACGCCCCTACCCGTCGCCGCCGCCCCCGCACGCACCGAGCCATCGGTGAGTCACCCACACGCCCCTACCCGCCGCCGCCCCCGCACGCACCGAGCCATCGGTGAGTCACCCACACGCCCCTACTCGCCCACAGGCAGCAACGCCCCTGCCGTCACCCCCGCATGCACCGAGCCATCGGTGAGTCGCCCCCGCGCCCCTACCCGCCCACACGTGGCAACGCCCCCGTGGTTAGATCGTAAAAGCCCAAGTTGATAAGTGTCTAATTTAGGACTTATGTAATATATAGCTGAAGTCTAATGGCTATTGGAATGTTCCCACTGCTATCGTAATTCAATTATTACGAATTATGTCACTATTGTTGTATATAAATTATATTTCCCGTTTACGTGCAGTGCGTGTGCGAAGTAACTCTTATTAGCGATGTTGTGACTGTGTGCGTTTTTCTGTTTCGCGGATGCAGCTAACACAGGAGGAAGCAGAATTTGCAGTGCCAAAACGCAGTGGCAGCTACTCTGACGACCTGCAACGGAGGGTCACCGGCTCAGGTAGGCAGCAGGGGACGCCACCCTCTCGCTAGAATCCTCCGCCTAGCTTCTCGTGCTTTCACACGCGTCCAGCGTAGGTAATTCATCCTTCCTGTCGGTCTTTGCGCCGGTAATGGATTTAGGTTAGCAGATGCTTTTATAGTCTCGTACGTCGTGTCCAAGTCGTCGCTAGTGCGCGTAGAAGAGATGCCTTCGTGGCCTAGTGGTTAGGCCACGTATACTGTCCACTGAAGGTTGTGAATTCAAACCCCGGCCAATTTTCTGAAGGTGTAAAAACCTGGTTCTCAACATTGGAGACTGTGAATCTCCCGTGGCTCGGATGACCACGTAAAATGGCGGTCCCGTCTCCAGTAATACGAAAGGCCAATGGGGACGTAAAAGAACCACTGAGGGCGCAAAAACAAACTCTGGCTGTGACCACCCTCAGTGCCATCCAGTGCCATTCGCTATAGCTGTATATAGTGCTGTTGGCAGACAGAGAGGAGTGCCGACCCCTGTCTGGTATGAGCTACAGAAAGGAATAATAATAACTTCCCGAGGAGACTCGAAATAATAATTATTATTATAGTATAGTACGCTAGCCTACGAAATTGATATCTCGATTAGCGATCGATGCTGAACATCGTTTCATCATTTCTACGGTCGCTAGTACTTAGCAAATGAGCAAAAACTCTCTCTGCACTCATATCCACACACATCTTGGGTGTGTACAGATTAATTGACAAGACCAGCTAGAAACTAGTAGGTCCACTTGCCTTTTCAGCAAACTAGTGCTGCTGCCAGGTAATAAGCATTGATAATTACAAGGGTTGACCTTGCCATCCACGCCGCAGTGTAACAACATTCAGCCTTACCTTTAACATCTCCCACACGCAATCTAAAAACTCAGATGGTCAAAAAAAAATCTCGAGAAAAAAGACGAGCCGTGTACAAACGCTTGCGACATCGTTGACGTTCAATTGTTTTGCGCAGACCTCGTCAGAAACAGCGCCAGCGCCCCCGGGACGCCGCTGCACGGCGTGGGGCGGCCGCGACGGAAGCGGCGAACCCGTATCCCCGACCGACCGAACCAGACGCTCAACCTGTGGAGCATCATGAAGAATTGCATCGGCAAGGAGCTGGCGAAGATACCCATGCCTGTGAGTGAGTCGGCTTGTGTGTGTGTGTGTGCGTGCGTGCTCTCTCTCTCTCTCTCTCTCTCTCTCTCTCTCTCTCTC